GGGGGGTCGGGGCGCAGGCAGAGGGGGGACCCGGAGCAGGCAGAGGGGTTTCATTAATGATGTTATCTGAAACAAGGTTTCCGAGGAGAATCTAAACATCGTTACAAACTTAGGCTGTGACTTGAAAGATTGTTGCTTTTTGCCTCGCTTTGTAATTTTCAGAGGATTTCTTTTAAAATATCCTAGGAAGCCCTGGCCTGTGTGCTCAGTGGTTAGAGCATCCGCCCATGGACCGAAGGGTCTCAGATTCGATTCCCGTCCAAGGGCACACCCCTGGGATGCGGGCTCACTCCCAGCCCCCGGTGGGGCCGTGTGGGAGACGGCCGATCAATGTGTCTCTCTCACATCTATGTTTCTCTCTCCCTCCCTCCCTCCTCTAAAAAGCAATGGGAAAATATCTTCAGGTGAGGATTTAAAAAAACATTTAAGGAAATTCTGATCTTTGCTACAACGTGGTCTTATAAGCCTTGAGGACATGCTCCGTGAAGTAAGGCCGTCAGAGGAAGACAAGCACTGCTGGTTCCGTTTCTGTGAGGTCCCCACAGCGCCAGGTTCCTAGGAAGGCGGGGTGGGTGCCGGGCTGGGAGAGGCGTTCGTTTAACGAGCGCACAGCTGGTTTTACAAGATGAGAGGCGTTCTGGGACGGATGGCGGTGATGGTTGCACAACATGAATGTACTTAATACACTGAACTGTACACTTAGAAATGACGAAGGTGGTGAGTTTTACGTTGCCTGTCTTTTACTACAATAACATGTAAGTGGCTGGAGAAATGGAGTCTTTTGAGTATGGACGTGAACATATAACTGATAAACACTGTTCAGTGCAGTTGTAGGTTCACTGCAACACTGAGCAGCAGGCGCAGGGACGCCGGGTTTCTCAGCCTCCCCACGATCAGTGTCCCCACCTGCCGGACAGGTTGCAGCCTGAGGACAAGTCCTTATCACCCAGGGTCCACAGTTGGCCAGTAGGGGTCGCTCTGGCTGTTGCACTTTCCAAGGGTCTAGACCAGACTCTAGAGCCATCGGTTCTCAACCTGTGGGTCGAGAACAATGAAAATCCATCCTGCGTATCAGATATTTACATGATGATTCATAACAGTAGCAACATTACAGTGATGAAGTAGCAACGAAAACAATTTTATGGTTGGGGGTCACCACAACATGAGGATCTGTATTAAAGGGTCGCGGCATTAGGAAGGTTGAGAACCACTGGTAGACAATTGTAAGATGACGTGTTTACCATTTTTATAAAGTAGCCTGGCCGGCGTGACTCAGTGGCTGAGCATCGACCTATGACCCAGGAGGTCAGGGTTCGATTCCCGGTCAGGGCACATGCCCAGGTTGTGGGCTTGATCCCCAGCGTGGGGCGTGCAAGAGCCAGTCAATGATTCTCTCTCATCATTGATGTTTCTGTCTCTCTCTTCCTCTCCCCTCCTCTCTGACATCAATAAAAACTCAGGCAGGGGGGTCGGGGCGCAGGCAGAGGGGGGACCCGGAGCAGGCAGAGGGGTTTCATTAATGATGTTATCTGAAACAAGGTTTCCGAGGAGAATCTAAACATCGTTACAAACTTAGGCTGTGACTTGAAAGATTGTTGCTTTTTGCCTCGCTTTGTAATTTTCAGAGGATTTCTTTTAAAATATCCTAGGAAGCCCTGGCCTGTGAGCTCAGTGGTTAGAGCATCAGCCCATGAACCGAAGGGTCTCAGATCCGATTCCCGTCCAAGGGCACACCCCTGGGATGCGGGCTCACTCCCAGCCCCCGGTGGGGCCCGTGTGGGAGACGGCCAATCAATGTGTCTCTCTCACATCTATGTTTCTCTCTCCCTCCCTCCCTCCTCTAAAAAGCAATGGGAAAATATCTTCAGGTGAGGATTTAAAAAAACATTTAAGGAAATTCTGATCTTTGCTACAACGTGGTCTTATAAGCCTTGAGGACATGCTCCGTGAAGTAAGGCCGTCAGAGGAAGACAAGCACTGCTGGTTCCGTTTCTGTGAGGTCCCCACAGCGCCAGGTTCCTAGGAAGACGGTGTGGGTGCCGGGCTGGGAGAGGCGTTCGTTTAACGAGCGCACAGCTGGTTTTACAAGATGAGAGGCGTTCTGGGACGGATGGCGGTGATGGTTGCACAACATGAATGTACTTAATACACTGAACTGTACACTTAGAAATGACGAAGGTGGTGAGTTTTACGTTGCCTGTCTTTTACTACAATAACATGTAAGTGGCTGGAGAAATGGAGTGTTTTGAGTATGGATGTGAACATATAACTGGTAAACACTGTTCAGTGCAGTTGTAGGTTCACTGCAACACTGAGCAGCAGGCGCAGGGACGCCGGGTTTCTCAGCCTCCCCACGATCAGTGTCCCCACCTGCCGGACAGGTTGCAGCCTGAGGACAAGTCCTTATCACCCAGGGTCCACAGTTGGCCAGTAGGGGTCGCTCTGGCTGTTGCACTTTCCAAGGGTCTAGACCAGACTCTAGAGCCATCGGTTCTCAACCTGTGGGTCGAGAACAATGAAAATCCATCCTGCGTATCAGATATTTACATGATGATTCATAACAGTAGCAACATTACAGTGATGAAGTAGCAACGAAAACAATTTTATGGTTGGGGGTCACCACAACATGAGGATCTGTATTAAAGGGTCGCGGCATTAGGAAGGTTGAGAACCACTGGTAGACAATTGTAAGATGACGTGTTTACCATTTTTATAAAGTAGCCTGGCCGGCGTGACTCAGTGGCTGAGCATCGACCTATGACCCAGGAGGTCAGGGTTCGATTCCCGGTCAGGGCACATGCCCAGGTTGTGGGCTTGATCCCCAGCGTGGGGCGTGCAAGAGCCAGTCAATGATTCTCTCTCATCATTGATGTTTCTGTCTCTCTCTTCCTCTCCCCTCCTCTCTGACATCAATAAAAATATATTTAAAAAGAAGAAAGAAAAGAATAGGATAAAATGAGCTTAATAGTAACGAGGAGGAAAAGCTGATGAGGTTGGTGTATTTGCCTTTGTTTCAGGGACCATGGAGGACGCTCCGGGCGCTGAGCAGAGCCTGACCGCGGAGCCCCGGCTGGCCGAGGGGGGAGCAGAAAGCATCGCCCCGGAGGCACCCCAGCAAGAACCCGGGCTGCTCTTCCAGGAGGAAACCATTGATCTCGGGGGCGATGAGTTTGGGTCAGAGGAGAATGAGGCCGTCTCGGATGATTCCAATAACTTCGCAGACAGGCTCAGCGAGCACATGATGGAGAGCGTCCTCATCTCGGATTCCCCGAACAACAGCGAAGACGACACCGGCGACCTGGGCCGGGACCTTGGTGGGGCGCAGGATGTCCGGGAGCCTGCAGGAGGCCGCGCTGACCACAGCCCGGACAGTGTCCCGGGCCAAGGCCAAGGCGCCGAGGACACGCCCAGTCCTGACAGTGAGAGCGATGGAGACAAGGCACCAAAGGGCGTCTCGGAAGGCACTCCAGGCGCCAGGGCGGCCTTGAAGGCAGGCCCGGAGCCGGAAGGGAAAGGCTTGCCCGCCTGTGAGCATGATGATGCCGGGGAGCCGGGCCCCAGGCACCAGGGCACACCCCCTCCCAAGGACGAGCCCGTGCCCGTGTGCACCATCTTCAGCCAGGCCTCGGCCGCCCAGCCCAGCCCCTTCCTGCAGGACGGCTTCGAGTCCC